AATGAGCACAAATGTGGTTTAAAACAACACACATTAATTACCTTACAGTTCTTCAGGCTGGAAATCTGCAAAAGGGTTTCCCTGACTGATGTGAACACGTTGGTAGAGCCGCGTTCTTTCTGAGGGTCAGGGAAGGAGCTCTTTCCTGGACTTTTCCAGCTTCTAGAAGCACCCTCATCCCTGGGCTCGAGGCACTTCCCGCCATCTTCAAAGCCAGCAGTGGTGGTGAAGTCCTTGTCACACCGAATGGCACTGTTGCTGATACCCCTCCACCTAAAAGGACTCTGGTGATTACTTGGGCCCACCCCGCGGACGCAGGGTCATCTCCCCACCTTCAGGTCAGCTGGGAGTAAACGTCATCTGTCTCTTGATCCCCTCGCCATGGTGGGTGACACAGTCAAAGGTTCCAGGGACTAGGACATGGACGTCTTTGGGAAGAGATTAACCAAAGAGCTTATATGCACATATGCATAGCTCATGGACAGACCACAGTGCAGTGAAGGCCCAGGGAGGGGGCGGGAGCAGGGTGGAGGGGGTTAGGGGGGGAAGAAAAAGGGGACAACTGTAATACTTTCAACAATAAAGATAAATTTTTTAAAAAAAGAATTTTCCATGAAAGTTTACTAAATATTTTACCATATCTTTAAAAAATAAATTTATTTATTTATTTTGTTAATTTCACCAGAGGATATTTTTTGTTGATTTTTTATAGAGAGAGTAGAAGGGAGAGGGAGAGAGAGAGAGAGAGAGAGAGAGAGAGAGAAACATCGATGTGAGAGAGACACATCAATTGGTTGCCTGAACTATGAGCTCAGACCAAGGCCAGGAATAGAGCTTGCAACCAAGGTACGTGCCCTTGACTGGAATTGAACCCAGGACCCTTCAGTCCATGGGCCGATGCTCTAACCACTGCTCAAACTGGCTAGGGCTACCATATCTTTTAAATCAGCTCCATAGACTTGTCAATATTTGCTGAAACAATTTTTTCTATGGCTTCTCCAAGTGTGAGTCCAAATGATTTCATATTTCAGCATGATGGTCATTTGTCAATCACTGAATGCTTTCCAAATAGAGTATTTACGAAGGCTGTAAGTCTCTACTGGGCCAAAGAAATGCTCAGAGTTCAACGCTCTATCAATAGCCTTCAGCTGGCAGAAGCTGCAGGAGCCAAGAAAATGTCATTGATTAAAGAACAGCATAAAAATTGTGTTTTCCATCATTCCCCGGGTGATTTAATGCCCTCCTTCTTAGACACCTATATGCCTCTCGTGCGTATGTGCGACGCAGCCACCCAGTGCTGGTGAGGTCCTTTCTGCCTCCACTGGGAGTGACACGAGGAGGCAGGGTCCCATCCCAGAAGGTCCTCAGTGCAGTGGGGAGTGAAGAAGGAAGCCGTGCCCTCAGACAGGCTGGGTTCAGCTCTGCCTCCACTGTCAGGCTTGGGGTGGGAGACAAGGTTTTTATGCTTCATTTCTTTAAGAGCAAAACAGACATAACAATAATTCCCACCCCCAGGCCGTGGCCTCTCCCCCCAGATTGCACCCCTCTCCCCAGGACATGGACCTACCTGCAGGCCTTTGGGAGGATTCTGTGAGAGGACACAGCTGGTGCTCAGGGAGTGTGACTATTGTTGCGGCCACAGCAATGACCTTACTTTCGATGCATTTTGTATACAGTGCTTGAAAAACCACTTAACCATCATTTAGTCACCTGCCCGGCATGAGTCAAACGCCTTATCCATTAACCCACACACGGAAGAAAACAGAACCAAGCCAACCTCAGTGAACCATGGTGCCATCTGTTCACCCTTTAGAAGAAGCCACTCCCCTCACCTGGCTTGTCCTCTCTCCTGTTTGAAATAATATCCACCAAGTCTGAATTCATCTTCGTAGAGATACCTTCCTGGTTCCAATAGCCACCACCCCGCCGCCCCCCTTCTTTCTTTCCTATAACTTTGATAGGTTGTCTACACAGTACTTGTCAACACTCTTTTGCTGTCCTGCACTTCTGCTCAAAAATGTGAGCATGCGGAAATTCCATTTTTCAGACAAATTAAGTAGTCTGTGGCTTATAATAATTCTTGGAGCACAACCTTTTCTCTCCTGCTTGAGAAGAAATCTCAATAAATGGCATGAGAAGGAGAGTTTTCAGTTTGCATATTTCATTAATAAAAAGGAAATCACTGCAAACTTGAGAACTTTATAAGTAGTAACAAGTTGCTTGTAACAAAAGTCTCAAAATGACAGTGATGTCATGACACTGAATTTGAGAACCGCTGGTCTCTATTTCCAATTTGATCTTCAGTGTACAGGCAATTCTCACCGAATTGTGTTATAAGAGGTTTAAAAGTTAGTTTGTCAATTGGCATTTTGTACTTTAAAGCTTGTTTTCCCATAAGCAGTGCAATGAAAAACAGAGGTTCTCAGGATATCCCACCACAGACAGGCCATCTGTGTGGAGTGTCTGGACTTAACTCAGGCTACTGAAGTCCACAGTGTCACTGCCTGGTTCACATGGGAGTGTGGAGAAGAAAGAAGGTCACTGTGTATAAAGGTATTAAGTAACTAAGGAGGAGACAGAGAGACATCAGGGAGGGGAAAGCCATCGAATAGGAGAAAGGTGGGTGCAGGTGGAGCTGTGATGTTTGAGGGACAGGAGCCCCTGTATCTCTGAAGGAAGAGGGTGAGAATGACCAAGTTATGACTAAATTGTAAACTAGAGGCCCAGTGCATGAGAGTCGTGCACTGGGGGAGGGGGTCCCTCAGGCCGGCTTGCACCTTCTTGTAGTCTAGAACCCCTCAGGGGATGTCCGCCTGCCAGCTTATGCCTGATTCCCCCCGGGTATCTGGCCTAAGTCGGCAGTCAGACATCCCTCTCGCAGGCTGGGGCTCTCGCAGTCCAGGACCCCTTGCTCCTTACTGCCCACCTGCAGCGGAGGCGGGAGAGGCTCCCACAACCACTGCTGCTCTCGCCAGCTGTGAGCCCAGCTTCTGCTGAGTGGCACTCCCCACATGGGAGCGCACTGACCACCAGGGGGCAGCTCCTACATTGAGTTTCTGCGCCCTAGTGGTCAGTGTGCGCCATAGCGAGCAGTTGTTCTGCCACTTGGTGGATTTGCATATTAGGGTTTTATTGTATAGGATGGTGCTGGCTTAGACTGTTGTATGTTCAATTTTGTCTTTCTGGCTAAAATGAAACATTTATTGAGCACATAGAAGGTGTCTTTTATGCTGCATTATGTTCCACTCAACACCTTACATGTAATAAAACCTTGAACATAGTAGTTTCCCAGGCATGTAAACTGATTGGTGGCATTTCATTATATAGGTGTCCCCAAAACATGTATACACACAATATCTGTAGATTCTATTACATTTTGAAAATGAAATGTATTTTAATAAACACTGCCTTTATAATTGGTCGAAGTGTGTATACATTTTTTTGGATACCCTGTATTCTTTATCAATCCCTGGAAAATTACGCTGATGAATTCTCAGCATATTTAGACATAATGTCATCTTCATGTGTAGCTAATGTTTTTGTTGTTAATTTTCAAAGAACTAATTTGGGGTACTACTGTTTAGACCCATGCCTTTCATTTGCTAAGATAAACACTGGTTTTGCTATATAAATTTTTGTTAATTTCCTCATATATGTTTTCTTTCTCTCTTCTTGTTGGTTTGAGTGGTGGATTCATTCTTTGGACCAGGGCTTCAAGAACTGGAACATGTAGTTAACACTTTTAAAATTTATTTATTTAAAAAAATTATTATGGAATATTTCAAACATATATTAAAGAAAACAGTGTAATAGACCCTCATTATTGACTGTCATCCCTCCCCCCTTTTTTAACCGGTGTCCCTGCGCTTGAGGATAGAACCAGCGGACTGAAAACCATCCAGGATGAAGACATGGCACGGAGGGAATCACCCATTTTTAACAATGATCATCATGGATAAGCCTGTTCTCCATTTCAAACAGGACATTTTCCGTGTTTCCCTCCTGAGTAAGGTGTTTGCTGAGCTTTGTTTCTGTTTGTTTTGTTTCCTTTGGTAGATTCCCTGAAGGACATTCTTATCACTATTCTGCCAAGAGTGTTGTTGTTGGTTTTGTTATGTATGGATGTTGAAGTTTATCAAATACTTTTCTCACATAATCATTTATATAACATTTTATTTAAAATTTTTGTGCTGTACTCTACTGGTTTGGGTGGAGTTATGACCCTGTGAGGGGAAGGGGGGAGATGCGGGAAGCCGGACTTAAGCGCCTCACTGCTTCAGAGGGGACAGCCCAGGGCCTGCGCGCCCACCTTCTTTGGGAGCACAAGGCCCTCGCCCACGACCCCTATTTATTTGCATAAATCCAATAAGATTCTATTCCCCTTATGATTCTCCAATGGTGGTTTTATTAACCAAGTCTTTGACTGTAATGTCATGTGCCTGGACTCTGGGGGTCACCGAAAGCCTTCTCAAAACTGATGGAAGCCAATCAAAGGCAAGAATGGCCTGGTAGGTACCTTGGTTCACAGCAATCTTTCCAGGTAAGGAATGAAGGTTGCTCTCCTAGGAGATGGCAGAGAGAACATCAAGGCATTCTGGGGACCTCAAAAACTTGAGGATTACAACCAAACCCTTGCAGGCAAAGAGTCCCTGGAGACATATACCCTGACCCCGAAGGTCCCCAGAATCCTTGGACCCCTGAGTCCCCGGAACCCCCTGAGATTCCCAAACCCCGGGTCCCCAAGACCCCCGATATCGCCAGAGAACCCCGGACCGCCGCAACCCCTGAGATCTGGGGACTCTTGAGTCCCCACGAACCCCGCATCGCCGAGACCTGGGAGACACCAGGAACCCTGAGACCCCAAGACTCCCTGTGACTCCCCTGCCAGGGACCTCCGGCCGGGCGGGGGCGCTGTGTGACCCGAGGGCTGTGCGAGGAAGATGCAGGGAACGCCCGGACGTGACGCGCGGTAGGCGGAAGTCCCGCCTCTGTCACCCACGGAAGTCCCGCCCCCTTCCTCCGCCTGAGTCCCGTGTGTCAGCCTGCTTCCCTCGTGGCCGACCCGCCGACATGGCGCACTACAACTTCAAGAAGATCACGGTGGTGCCGTCCGCCAAGGTGAGCGTCCCGGGACCTTCCGCTCTCGCCTTTTTCCTGCAACGCCCCCCTGCCGGGCCCGCTACCCAGGCCACATCCTCGAATTTAGGGGTCCCCCGGGCTAGCCCCACCCCAAAGGGTGGGTTCCTTTCTCAGACCTTCGAGTCCTCTACAGAGACGAGGGATTCCTTCCTCATTGATTGGAGTCTTTTCCCAGAGAGCAGGGTTTCTCTTCAGACGTCTGAGTCCTCTACGGAGGGGAGAGGTCCTTCCCCAGGAGTTGGGGTCTTTCCTCAGACATTAGGGTCCCCCCACCCCCAGAGGTGAGGGGGTCCTTCCTCAGACGTTACGGTCCTCTCCAGAGAGGAGGGCTCCTCCCCAGAGGTTGGGGTCGGTCCTCGTTACGCATAGTGGTCTCTCCTTTGGAAAAACTGCTGTTTGAACTACTCTGTTGTTCTTCGTCTCTTATTCCGTAGGTCAACTCTGTTATTTTTAGGCTGTAAAATAACTTTGTTTTTTGCCTGAATAGGAAAGATAAACTCAATTGTCTGACCTTGCGAGCTAGCCATCTAACTGATACGCTGATATTGATGCCAGGTGCCTGTGTAGATCGATATGTACTCAAGGTTACACGCTGTCTACAAACATAACTTAAAGAACTAGAAGGAGATAAAAAGGAAATACTCCCTCCTGTGTTTGTTCAGAATTTGACAGAGGTGATCTGCTCTGAACCTGCGCGCAATAAAGATGACTCCTAACTAATTGGCTCATTAGGCGTCTTGTCCAGCTCGCTGATTTGCGATAGAACTCTCAGACATTAGAGTCCGTCCCGCCCCCCCCCCAGAGGTGAGGGGGTCCTTCCTCAGACATAAGGGTCCTCCACCCAGAGGCGGGGCCAGGCGGAAAGCTTTATGAAGCAGTAGCTTTGGAACTGGCCCCTCCAGGGTTCACAAAGGCGGCAGAGGCAAGAAGGAGGAGGGGCCTGGAATCCGACATCTGTACCCCAACTGGTGCTGTAGGCACCTGCCAGCTGGGGAGGTCACGCAAAAACCTTTCATGTCCTTGTCTCCTTAACAAGTCCTAGGAAATTATCAACAGTGGATTTTTGTTTTACTCATTGTTTTATGTGCTTTTAACGTTGTAGGATTGTTTTTATTTATTTTTTAATACTGTGGAGTGTTTTGTTTTTTTTCCTGATTTACGCTTGAGTTGTCTACTTACGTTTTCAAAGGTTTTTAGGTGTTTGGGAATTAAAAGAAAGATTTATTTCAGCAGCCATTTGCTAAGTGTTTTTTTAAAGGCCAGAAAAAAAAACTATAAAGATGAACAAGATTGTATATAAAAGATTTAGTTAGAAAAGGTGTCGTTTAAAAAAAAAAGTACTATTATTAGATACTAGTCTTCCAAGAAAGTTTCAATAAAGTGGATGAAAAGTAGGCGCATTTGGTGTAACTCTTTATTATTTTATTTAATTGCAGGACTTTATTGACCTGACATTATCGAAGACGCAACGGAAGACTCCAACGGTCATTCATAAACATTACCAAATTCATCGCATTAGACATTTTTACATGAGAAAAGTCAAATTTACTCAGCAGAATTACCATGACAGACTCTCACAGATTTTAACGGACTTCCCCAAATTGGATGTAAGTGACTCTAGAGGCCACAGATGCTTATGTAAATGTTAGTTTTTGGGTAATGGGTTTTAACCAGTTTGGTCTACTCCCCTCACAGATTACGAAGGAAACAGAAAATAATGGAGTTGTCTAAGTTTACTCAGTGAGTTAGTGGCAAAGTTGGGAACAGAACATGGTTTGTCATTTGTTTTTTTGCTTTTAAATTTCTTAATTTTACTTTCTGCCAACCAAACCTCGTCTAAGAGGGCCCAACGCTATTTCCAGGTTTTGTAACTTTGAGGCTTGCAGGGTCCAACCCAGGGTCTCTGAAAGCTGTGACTGGATCTGGAAGTTCTCGCAGCTCGCCAGCTGGTCTGGTTTTCTCTCCTGCCTGTTTCCAAGGCTCTTTTTCCTGGCCTCAAGTTGGGTCCGTGCCCTGAGGTCTACCACTGTTTGTGATCCTGCTGGTTCATCAGCCAGTGATGGTCAGTTCAGCTCTGACTGCTTTTTTTCACTAGTGGTGAGAAATTGCTCGGGGGAAACTGATTTTCCATTCAGTCACTCTTCTGCATAGTGCAGTTTGCCTGTTTGTTTAGTTGTAGAGAGGTAGAGCAACACTGCTTATGAAGTCCTCGTGTAGGATCACATGGTAGCAAGGTTATGTGAGATGATGAAGGATGTGAGAGTGTAAATTTGCCACTGTCCTAAAATAGTCTTTATATTTAAAAAGATAATGATATAAAAAATGAAATAAAAAGATATTGATGGTCCTAGTCAGTTGATGCTCAGTGATAAGAGCATCGGCCTGCAGACTGAAGAGTCACGGGTTCAATTCCTGTCAAGGGCATGTACCTTGGTTGCAGGCCCCATCTCAGGCCCCAGTCAGGGCGCATGCGGGAGGCAACCAATTTCTGTGTCTTTCTCACATCAGTGTTTCTCTCTGTCTCTACTCCTCCCTTCTACTCTAAAAATCACCCTATCCTTTGTTGAGGATTAACAAAAACAGAAGATGATGGTTTGTTTTTAAAAATACAGAAATGTTTAAAACAAAATTTAAAGGTTTCTGCTAGAGGAGTGACACTTATATGTCTTTCAATAGATGCTTTTGAATAAGTAATTATTTCTTGAGAAAGAGAGGCTTCCCCTTCTACCCTCTCAGGTGTGCAGCCTAACCTCTAAGGAACCCCACAAGACTTGCAGCCAGCGGAGCAGTGGGCAGTGGCAGCTTGTCCTGAGCTCATCCCCTGAACCTGTCTCCAAGGCCCCCTTTTCTCTGATTTCTCAGTGAGCCCAAGAAGCCTCTCCTAGGCTCTCTCCTAAGTCTTTCCTGTTTTACTGTCCCCAGCTTTAAAAAAGTGCTCTCAAAATTGAAAAACAAACAGGATGAGATTATTCTAAACTAATTTTTTTTTTTTAAACATCGATCAGCTGCTTCCTGCACACTCCCTTCTGGGGATGTGCCCGCAACCAAGGTACATGCCCTTGACCGGAATCGAACCTGGGACCCTTGAGTCCACAGGCTGACACTCTATCCACTGAGTCCAACTGGTTAGGGCTCTAAACTAATTTGATATTAGGAAATACCTGGTTTGAATGAACAAAATACTTTGGTCTAATTAGTACCAGATTTCTGTGGTTCTTTGTAAGAAGTTTTATCTTCTATGGCATCATTTTTTATACATTAGAGGTTCAAATTTATGAACATTGTATTTGTGTGTGTGTTTAAAGCTAGAGTTAGTTATCTGAGAACAGTTTCAAGGTAGAGGGTCAAGAGTAAATTACCATTCATCGAATGATTGCTGGGTCTCGGGTATTGTTCTAGACCAGTAATGGTGAACCTATGACACGCATGTCAGAGGTGACACGCGAACTCATTTTTTTGGTTGATTTTTCTTTGTTAAATAGCATTTAAATATATAAAATAAATATCAAAAATATAAGTCTTTGTTTTACTATGGTTGCAAATATCAAAAAATTTCTATATGTGACACGGCACCAGAGTTAAGTTAGGATTTTTCAAAATGCTGACATGCCGAGCTCAAAAGGTTCGCCATCACTGTTCTAGACACTAGGAATACAGCTGTAATAAAAGAGGTCCCTAACTTCGTCCAGTGTGGGGAAAGACAGTAAATGTGAAAATACATGGTGTGTCAGATAAATACGGAGAGTAGGGAGGTTGTAAGAGACCTGAAGGAAGTGAGGTGGTAAGCTGGCTCCCTGGGGAAAGCAAGTGCCAAGGCTCTGAGGTTCAGAGTGTGGTGTCTTCCCAGAACAGGTGGACCCAGGAGATGGAGGAGAGTACTGGGATGTGGGTGGGGCAAGGCGACTTGTGTAGGGCTTGAATTCTGTTGTTAAGGCGGGAAGCTTTTGGAGCTGAGCCTGCGACTGGCCATGTTCTGGCTTAGCTCTTAGAGGATGACTGGCCTTTACAGGTAGGAGGCCACTCAGGTCAGCGCAGTGACTTAAAGGACATGGTGGTGAAGGAGTTGAGAAGTGTTTGGCTTCAGGGTATCCTTCGAAGGAAGAGCTAATGGATTTGCTCATGGAGTAGGTGTGGGGCATAGCCCACAATGGAGTTGCCCTTCACCGAGACGGGGAGGGACACTGGTTTGAGGAGGTGGAGAACGGTTTGTACATGTTAATTGTGAGATGTGGGTGAGATGTTCAAGCAGAAATGCCGAGCAGTCTGAAGCTCGTGAGTAGTCTGGCCTGGAGATGGGAAGATATGACTTGTAAAAATGTAGATGTGTGAGAACCTATGGAAGGTCACCTAGGAAATGAGTGTGAGAAGAGTGCTTTGGGGAGTGTGAGTGGTTAGCATTGGAGCTCGAGCCAGCAAGGGGGTTGGAGAAGTAGCCAGTGAAAGAGAAGATCCTAGAGACCAGGTGAATAAACGCATCAGGAAGTGTGGGAAAGGATCTGGTGAGAAAAAGGGAGGACCGGATGTCACTGGTGGTGATGAGCTGTTTAGACGGCCTGGTAGAGACAGTCCTGACTAGTTTGGGTTGTGGGAATGGGGAGAAAGAAAAGACTTGGTACCTTTCTTCTTGACATTTGCCAAGAAGGGGAGCAGAGGAAAGGAAGGATGCGGGGGGGAGACAAGGGAGTTTTAAAACTTAAAATTTGGGGGGAGAAATAATAGGTTTACAGGCTGATGGGAATGGCCAGGTGGAGAGGGAATACTATCTGGAACTCAGTTCTTGAATTGTAAGGGGCAGGGTCCAGTGCATAGATGGACCAGGCCTTGGTTGGATCGGAGAACAGTTCTACAGGAGTGGGGATGAAGGTCTGTGGATGGGCAGAGGTGACTGCCAGGCTTACTTCCCTGTAACTCCTGCTCTCTCAGAGAACCAGACAGACGTTAGCCAGGAGAGAGATCTGGGGAGAGATGCTACGGGTGTGGGAAGAGAGGGAAAGGTGTGATGTATTTCCTTGGAAATTATTCTTCAAGTATTATGTACAATAGGGATGAGAAACTTGTGCCAAACTGCTTTGCTTTTTTTGTTACAGGATATCCATCCATTTTATGCTGATTTGATGAACATTCTCTATGATAAAGATCATTACAAGTTGGCTCTGGGACAAATAAATATTGCCAAGAATTTAGTGGACAAGTAAGGTATTTTCCTAATATATTATCTTTTAAATTGTCAAAAGTGAAAATAACTTATGTGCTTCTTTTTATTTATTTAAGTGTTGCTAAAGATTATGTGCGGCTTATGAAATATGGAGACTCCCTCTACCGTTGCAAGCAGCTGAAGCGTGCCGCCCTGGGGCGAATGTGCACCATTATCAAAAGACAGAAACAGAGTTTGGAGTATTTGGAACAAGGTACTTGTCATACATAAGCAAAAATGCCCTTGAGTGCATTAAGGTACTTGGTCCTTGTCAAAAACTTATTTTTGAAATGTTTTATTTTATTTTAGAGATGACAGGGCCAAATTACTTTTCCTAGTCTATCCTATAAGAAATTCTGACAGGCCAGTTATTGAAAAAGTAACTAGCACTTACAATATTTACAAGTTAATAGCACTCTTAAGAAAACTTATGTTTCTCATATTTAGTAGATAAGACATATACATTATAAAACACGGGAAATACCAAAAATATGTAGGAAAATAAAATGATTCCTAGTTTTTGTTTGTTTGTTTGTTTGTTTGTTGGTATAGCAGAGGTGGAGATTTATTAAAGAACAAGTACAGACTCCCACAGGGGAAAGGGGAAAGAATCTTACAGCACAGACTTCCAGGTGGGGAGGGGGAAAGAGCCCCCTGATTCCTAGTTTTACGTATTTTTTTTTAAACGCCTTTCTTTGTAACATGATAGCATCAAACTGCTACTTGTTTTATTACCTGATAGTTTCATGTACTAGGACAACATCTGAATTAACATGGTATGGTTTTTATTAAAACAGTTCTTTCCTTTGTTACGTTCATATAATTTTCATTACAAATGTTTTTAACTCAGGTGGTTTTGTTCCCCCTCTCCCAGCATCTAGCAAATAATTTTCGATAAGATTGCAGTACTTGGCTGCTTAAACTTCAAGGTAGCTTAGTGGTGTCACTGGTGCTATGAGCACTGCAGACCAGGCCCTTGTGTAGTCATTACATGGAAGCAGCCCTCTGTCTAGTCAGAAATGATGGATCGCACACTCACTTCAAAAGCGCTTTTCCAAATATTTTTCAGTTAAGCGTCACCTGGACACTTAGACGTGTTTTTGGCCTCACCTTGAACCTGTTAGATAGGAATACCAAGCTGGCACAGCCTAGGAATGGGATTCTTGGAGCAGATGGTCCTTTTTTCATTCGTTTGTATTTTCTTTTTTTGTTACTCTCCACCCGAGGATATTTTTCCGTTGGTTTTTAGAGAAAGTGGAAAGGAGGAGGAGAGACACAGAGAGAGAGAAACATTGATATGAGAGAGACACATTAATTGGTTGCCTAGTATACGAGCTCCGACTAGGGCCGGAGATCAAGCCTGCAACCTAGGTACATACCCTTGACCGGAATCAAATCCAGGCCCCTCAGTCCGCCGGCTGACACTCCACTGAGCCAAACCGGCTAGGGGTCATTTGTTTTTTCTTCATCACATTATAAATGTTGGAATGATGTTAATATTTCACAGTATTGGAGTGTAAGTGAAACAGATCTTAAACTGAGTTTCTTAATTTTTCTTGTGAAATTAAGCACATTTAATTTGAACTTCTCACAGTGCGTCAGCACCTGTCCCGTCTGCCAACTATTGATCCAAACACGAGGACCCTGCTTCTATGTGGGTACCCGAATGTCGGCAAGTCCAGCTTCATCAATAAGGTTGGTTTGTCTCTGATAATTACTCAGGATACTGAGGACCTGAGGCCAAAGGTCTGCCATGTTCTGACTGCATGGGATGGAGGACGGCTAATTAGTCCTTGAGTTGGTACTGCCCTGGGTTCAAAACATTGTGTCCTCGAAGGGAGGATTGAGTTTGTCTGATCCTAGATATATATATTGCTATTACAGAAACAATTTTTTGATTCTTGTGTGCTTCTTACAAATTTTTAAGAGATTTGAGGTGTTACAGTACATTTTTGTTAACATACAAGAGCCTCTCACAGGACATGTTGTCTTGGCATGTTCTGGGAATAGTGGTGCCAGTGGGCCTGCTGTTCACTGTGGCAGGCTGCACTTGCTGAGTGGGACTTCACTTTCTGAAAGTATTTCTCGGGTACTGTCCCCTTAGTTGCCATGTCAGCTTTCACATAAACTATTTGGTCCATGTAATGGGGAGTACTGAGTCATTCTTATTTGAGTGAGTTTATTATTTGAGGCTCAAGGGCACTATTTATGTAAGTAACTTGGTGCTTAAGGGTAATTTACCTGACTTTGAGGGACCTGAGCAGAGCAGAAACAGCTATTAAAATGTCATTTCATAAACAGCAACAGCTCATATACCAATAAACAATTGTTACATTCATATACATCCATGTGGCTGTTTGTTTCCAAGAATACCTTTGCCTTTAAGATTTATGGATTTTGTCCACAAGTTGTGCTGACATAGTGACAAGCCGTTTCTCTTCAGTATCCTAGCTATGTCTCCAACACTCGAAGGCCAGTTCTGTGGGGCAAAGACGGGACCACTTAAATAATTAAAATTAAACAATAGCCTTGACCAGTTTGGCTCAGTTGGTTGGAGTGTTGTCTTGTACAATAAAAGGTGGTGGGTTTGATTCCCGATTATGGCGCATACCAGGTTGAGGGTTCTCTCCCCAGTTGGGGTGAGTACTGGAGGCAGCCGATTGATGTTTCTCTTCTCTCCCCCTCCCTTCTCTCTGAGATCAATTAAAATATATATTTTTAATTAATAATAAAATTTTCGTTTCTCAGTTGCACTTGACTACATTTCAAGAGTTCATGGACAGTGTGTGGCTAGCAGGCCCCATATGGACTTCGCAGATGTAGAATGTTTTCTTCATTAAAGAAAGTTGTTCTGGGCATGGCAGGGGCTGGGGCAGGCAAGGAAAAGCTGGTGGGTGTCCTCCTCCGACTGGGCCTGCCTCACCTCCCTTGTCCTTGATTCAGGCTCTTCTCTCTGCTATGGGCGGTGATGAGGAAGTGGAGACCGTCACCTGTTGAAGCATAGTAGCTCTTGTCCTCAGCAGTTAACCATGGAAGTCTCACTTGAGCTTTTTTCCTCCTACTGTAACAGTCTTGATAACATATCTGGGGTACTTTTACACTGTGTGAGAGGAAATAAAGTGTAGAACACTGTGATTGGTTTCAGGTGACAAGAGCAGATGTGGATGTCCAGCCTTATGCATTTACCACCAAATCTCTGTTTGTTGGACACATGGATTATAAGTATCTGCGCTGGCAGGTAAGAGCTCTTATCTTTAAACGCAACAGATGTCCTGGTGGTTTTGTTAATGGAATGATTTTGATCCCTACAGCACAGGGGATCAAAGTGTCTTATTATTTAGTGCACTTTTTAGAGTGGGGAGAATGAGGAGGTGGAAGTAGACTCTTAGGGTTGCCAGGAGTGCCCTCATGAAGAAAACTCTGAGCTTTGGGGTTGCTTAAGAGCAGTTCTCATTTCTCTACCAGGAGGCTTCTGCATTATGTTAACAGTGGTGCTGCTGAGGAAAGTCTTGTCACTGTTTCTGACCCTGTTGTTAGAAATGGCATTTACTAATTTAAAAGCATGAAGCCGTGTATTTCCACAGTTGAATTTGACTTTATCAATGATGAAGTAGTTCCTCGCACATGGGCATGGTAGCCAGTTATTCCAGTTCTGTTTCATGATGTCACTAATAGCAGAGAGGCATTCTCTCAAGGTCATTGCTAGTTCCTGAATGAGCTGTGCAGGTGCCTCCATCCCCCGTTTCCCCTTTACTGCTTTATTTTATCATGCTCAGCTGGGAGACCTACGTTTTATTAACTAGTCTTGTCAGTGACCTCTGGGATGTGCTGGACAGCAAGTTTGTGAGCAGTGTGCTTTGGAGTGACAAGTTTGACTGTTAGGTTGTAGATACCCCGGGGATTTTGGACCACCCTTTGGAGGATCGGAACACAATTGAAATGCAGGCCATCACGGCCCTGGCCCATCTGCGTGCTGCGGTGCTGTATGTGATGGACTTGTCTGAGCAGTGTGGGCACGGGCTGCAGGCGCAGCTGGAGCTCTTCCAGAACATCAGACCTCTCTTTGTCAACAAGGTGAGTGGGTATTTGGATATTTTCTAGTTTGCATGATCAATAAGAGAACACAACAGAAAATACAATCTCCAAAGTGATGTTTATCTTGGAATTACCCAATTTAGGTTGGAGAGGTTGTTCACATTTAACTAGATCACTCTAATGTGTACTCTGTAGGTGCACTTATGAGCTTAAGACAATAACCTAGTTCCCATTCATCTTGGGTATTCTCGAGTAATGAAAAGTATTTCAGCCTGTAAAGCTAATGCATTCATTAAGTGCTACAAACTTGATCAATAAAAAACCCTCTAGATTTGATTTATGTTCATCATAAACAGTTAAAAGGTAAGGGCATCCTCCATCTAAACCTATTTTTCAAAAGGTTTGGAAGCAAAAGGTCCAATGTGATTTAAAAAATTAGAATGTATCATTTCTAGCATCTTAGGTAGGTAGTTATATCAGGCTCACTAAAGTCTGACATATTCATTATTTTGATGTCCGTTGTCCACATTCATACAGCTAAATGTAAATTTCATGAAGACTTCAACCTGAACCTTGTATTTTCCACAGTGCCCTGCTAAGGATTCTTGGGGTCCATAGCAGATTCACTATGACACCTGATACTCTGTCCTCAGTAGCCTGATTCAGTAACAGTAAATGCACACCTAACTTGATTTTTGTTCTTTCCTGCCAATCCAGGGTTGCCAGGTTTAGTAAATATAAATACGTGATACCAATCAAATTTGAATTTCAGATAAATAACAAATTTTTTCAGTATAATTATGTCCCAAATATTGCATGTGACATATGTATAGTAAAAAAATAAAACTAAAAAACTCAGTCCTGGCCAGTGTGGGTCGGTGGTTAGAGCATTGGCCCATGTACCGAAAGGTGACAGGTTCAATTTCTGGTCATGGGCATGTATCTGGGTTGCAGGTTTGATCTCTGGCCCCAGTCGGGGTGTGTACTGGAAGCAACCCATTGATGTGTCTCTCACATCCATGTTTCTCTCCCCAATCCCTCCCTCCCTCCCTCCCTCTCTCTCTAAAAATCAGTGGGAAAAATATCCTCAGGTGAGGACCAACAACAAATTTCATTGTTTACCTGAAATTCAAATTTAACTAGGCATTCTTTATTTTTATTTGGTGACCTTATCAGTCATTCTCCTACAAAGTTGCCAGGTATTTCTTGTAGGCCCCAGTTTGTCAGACACATCTACTTAACAGTGGACACTATTATAGCTTTGTCAAGGATCCCCATCACTAATGTTCTAAGTATCATGGAGGAAGGGACACTCTCATTAGGTGAGTGTGACTGGAGGTGCAGGATTAGCTGAGATGCTGTAACCTCCACTGCAGTTCCAGAAATCAGGAGAGCAGTTCTTCATGGATAGGAACCCAGGGGTTTCACATCTTCACTACTTTTTAACCTGAGAGGAAGGAGCTACATAGCTGATATCCTTAAAATACCCCCTGATTAACTTAGGCTTAAAAGATACTTTAGCATTTTCCCAGAAATGCCTGTATTTCCACAAATAAATAGTGTTTGAGGTGCCAAATAGTGTTGTGAAAGTCACCAGACTGGAAAGCAGACCTGGGGGTACTGTTTTGTTTTCATGAGATCCACATTTATGCTTACAGCACATTTATGGATAAAAATTCCACATATAATAGTTAAGAAACATGTGCTTCCAGTAAAAGTTTTTTTTTTAACCTGTTAGCTACATTTATGTGTGAATAAAGGAAATGATTACTAAAAATAAAGTAGTTGAGCATTTGTACAAAATATTTTATGAGGCCCTCATTATGTTGCTGCTATTAAGCCATTGTGTACTATATAAGTTTTAAATGATTTAATCATTCTTGTGGAATGAAGGTTTATTTAAAATGTTACAGAAATCCTATAGATAAATATTTGTAAAGCTGCTATTGCCATTGTACCAGTATTAAAAATTTATTCTACCTTGCATCATTTATAATTTTTATGACAGATTGTATATTGTACCCATTTGAGAATCCTGTAAATGTTATGGATTCAATAAACTGTTGCTAAGCATATGCTCCCAATGTTTATTTTGAGACTAAGTGACAACCAGAGAATATAAACTACCAAGGTGCATCTGGTTATGTTTTTAAATAAAGAGCAAATAAACAAGGTGGTATGACCAGTACCACATTGATGACCTGCAGTATGAAGGTGGTGATCATCTTGTTATTTCTCTTCTCGTTGTAGCCTCTTATAGTTGTAGCAAACAAATGTGATGTGAAGAGGATAGCTGAGCTTCCAGAAGAGGACCAGGTAAGTCAACTTTATGCTTTCAATATTTCTTACCAATTCTAAATCTCATCTCAGATTGCCAGAGTTTAGAAAGAATTTTAGCAATGCTGGTCTGGCTTTTGGTTTTACAGTTGAGATAGTATCCTTGGTAGTTCAGTCAACATGACATTATAAAAACCTCTTAGTGGTAACTAAACCTGAAATTTCCTGATGGCTGCTCTGTTAGAGGCTGTGGAAGCAAGCATCCATGTGTGCCCCCGGTCGGTACATTTAACCTCTGGAAGATTTGCTTACATAGGAAGGGACTGTTCTACACCAGGGCCTTAAAGGGAATGTAGCTCAGGCCTCGGTAGCAGGTGCACAGGAGCAGCCCTTTGCAGAGTAAGTTTCTAGGTAGCGGGGGTTTCATAGTGTTGCCTATGTGTCTGCTGCGTGGAGTCTGTGATGAAGTGAGTTTGGAAACTGAGTGAATGAAGGAAAATGAGCATCTGACACTGTAGGACCGGAATCTGTAGTGTCTGCTGAAGTTTTCCGAGAGACAGCATGTGAGCCTTGGTTTGTCAAACCGATTGAACCCTGCAGCCCTCTTCAGTAGCATCTTTCAGGACAGGCGCTGTGAGAAGCTTTGCACTAATACAGTGGTTCTCAGGTTGTGCCCGTGACCATTAGCCAACGTCACTTTCCTGTGGTAATATGTTCTGAATGCAAGGCCTCTGAAGTCAGAAATGGGTGGGGGGCACCCAGCAGGCGTGGGCTTGCACGGCCCCCTGGTGATGGGTGCACACTTGAGGTTTGGGAGCTACTGCAGTAGAATGATGACTGCACCTGGCCACACGCCCTGGAGCATGCTCCATTGAGTGGGTCTCGAGGAAGGGGCATGCTGCTCTCTTCCCACTGCCCCTGGTGTCATGTGGACATTTCATGTTTGGTGAGAATTAGAGTTTTTCAAACAGCCATGCTGGTTTCCTTGGAGAACTGTGATATATTCTTTAAATTGCTGATTATATAAACGCGCCACCAGATAATTCACTTATTTTTTAAAAAGGCCCACATACCTATTGAATAATCTCAGTTTTTCTGTCTAAAAGCACTGGAGGGTGGAGAAGGTTGGGATGCTCAGGCTCTGATGTTACACATGCTTGAGTTCAGCCTCACCACCTAGCAGCCCTGACGGGTGAGGTCACCAACAGTGACACCATTGGTTTTATACCAGGATGTGGTTGGGAAGATTTAGTGAAATCGAGAAGTAGGTGACAGCGGCACTATTGCGATGGTAACTGTCTGGATAACACTCTCTTGTAGCCTGTATTCATCGGTGCTCTGACTCAGCAGCAGCTGGTAGGTTACTGTGTGATGGATGCTGTCGCCGCATACGTAGGTGGATGCAGAGTGTCTTACTCGGGTCACACGCTAGTCAGTAGTGAGGCTGGCTCTCTGACCCTGGTATTCCTCAGGACACGGCTCTTTGCAGTAGGAAAGCAGGTCTTATTCACACGAAGCTAACTATTGCTGGATTGGTCGACTGTGTCTGAATGAAGTTGTGTATGGGTGAAGGGCACACAAATGAGGTCCTTTCACTTAGAGTCTTAGTGGTTTATAAGGAGCTAGATGCATAAACATTTTTGTGTTGTTTTCTAAAGAATTCTCTTAGGCTGTGGAGGTTAAATATTTTTACTAAAAATAGCTTTGAGCCCCAGCTGGGTGGCTCGTTTGGTTGGAGCATCGTACACCAAAAAAGGTTGCAGGTTAGATTCCCAGTCAGGGCACATATCTAGGTGTGTATGGGAGACAACTAGTCGATGTTTATCTCTATCATATACACACACACACACACACACACACACACACACAGTGGGGCCTTGACTTTCGAGTGTCCCAGCTAACGAGTTTTTCGAGATATGAGCTGTCTCTCGGCCGATTTTTTGCTTTGAGTCACAAGCTAAAATTCAGGTTACAAGCCAGCTTCAGATACCCCACCGCTAGTTGGTGCAGCGAACATCACAGTGAATGCCACAACATCAGCCCAGCATCACCTGTCATTGTAATGGTAAAAGTTGATTTGACATACGAGTAATTTGAGTTACGAGCTCCGTCACAGAACGAATTAAACTCGTAAGTCAAGGCCCCACTGTATATATTTCAGAGGGGAAGGGAGAGGAAGAGAGAGAGAAAAACATCAGTGATAAGAGGGAATCATTGATTGGCTGCCTTCTGCACGCCGGGGACCGAGCCCATAACCCAAGCATGTGCCCTTGACCGGAATCGAACCTGGGACCCTTCAGTCCATAGACCAATGCTCTATCCACTGAGCAACACCGTCTAGGGCTGTTTATATCTTATCTCTCTCTCCCTCGCTCTCTAGAATAATCAACATATTCTCTGGTGAGGATTTCTTTTTAAAAGCTTTGAAAACATTCTAAAAAAAATCTGTATCTTGATCTTGCCAAGTTTGTTTTTGGAATGTAAGATCTCACAGAAAATTCTAGAAAGCCTCTGGTTTGCTTGCTGTAGTCTGGTTTGATCCTCCTAGTAATTTGTATTTTCTTAATTACAGAATAACAGAGGGAAAAATAAATAACTGTTTTGGGGGAGATGTCCTTCAAAAGAGTTAGAACAAACCACAGATGTTGTGCTAAGCAGCATTTATAACACTCAGTTGAGGAACAGTAAGATTTGTTCATGGGGACTTGGAAATAACATGTCTCTCATTTTTTCTTTATATTCCCAGAAAATATTTACAGATTTGCAGGCTGAAGGATTTCCTGTGATAGAGACCAGCACCCTGACGGAGGAAGGGGTTATCAAAGTGAAAACAGAGGTCAGTGCTTCCTCGTAGGCAGTGGCCGAGCACTTTACTGTCTTTCTCTTGTTTGAGAAAAGTCAGTCGTGAGGAAGGAGTTTTCTTTCCAGGTGAGCGCTTGTGGCTTAGGCAGGAGGCATGAATGCATGCGCCCTGGCTGATTCAGCCTTGGTCCCACCCACCCCAATGAAAGGGGCGCTTTGGGCGATGCTTTCACTCCTAGCTCGGGTAGTTTTAACTTTATCCACTGCTGCTGTTTCTCTCAACCTACCAATATTTCCATGGGAGCTGGATGGAAAAGTACTTCCATGGAACCTGTTCAGAAGTAGAAGGAAAAAATAGTAAAAGTGGGACCAGCTTAAGGAAGCACTTCTTGTTAGATTTCACATGATTCTAACATTCTTATTTTGTTATTTTTACCTGAAATAAAAAGGGCATCTCTAATACTGTTGATTTTATTCAGGCTTAGTTGCTCTAGTTAGAGTCCTGAGGTGGGATGTGGATCAAGTTAGGGAGCTGTCTGGTTAGCACGGAGTCGCTGGTAGGGAAGAAGGGCCCAGAAAGGGCTGTGGGGTTACTCGGGCCAGCTGTGTGGTGGTGCTGCCTCCGGGTTCTGCCTCAGATTGGGCCTGGGCTGGAAAGGGAGAAAGAGGCAGCCTCCATCCTGGAGAGTAGGGTCTACCCCAGGGGAGGTACTGGACCTTGATGTGGTTCTGGGGACTTAGCCACTAGATGTCACTACTGAGCAGAACACCTTGGAACATACATAGTCTCTGGTTGCTGGTTCCTCCCTGGAGGCTGCTGCAGGATGCTTTGTGACTTTCGTGCCTTGTTTTCACACTTTCTTAGGCTTGTGACAGGCTCTTGGCTCATCGAGTTGAAACCAAAATGAAAGGAAATAAAGTCAATGAGGTGCTGAACAGATTGCATTTGGCTATGCCAAACAAAAGAGATGATAAGGTAAGGTTGCTCTTCCAGAGACACTTTGAGATGGAATTATGGTGTTACTGACACAGCGAACATGCCACGTGCTTCGTCCAGGGGCCACAGATGCAGTTGCACATACGTGCATAAATGGATGTCATGAGCAGGCGTGAGTTCTCACTCAGACTAAATCCTGCCACATATTTTAAAAAAGGCAAAAAATGAGTGTGAGGTGCCAAATTAAAACCTGCTTCTCATTCCACCAGGCCTATTAATGTTAACTCTGTCTTGTTTATCTTTCCAGAAATATTTTTGGTATAAAAGCATATTTTTAAAAAAAAAATTTAAACACAAATTTTGTGTTTTTTAAGTTTTCATTTAATTGCTAGTAGGCAGTGCTCAAGTGCACATCTTTACATACAGTGTTGTTGTTTTTTAATTTTCAAATCTGTAGAGATTTTAAGGTGTGGCATTGAAAATATTGTCTACAAAATGCCTTACGTGTATATATTGTGCTGGTGGTTCCTTGCACCTTTGGTGTTGACATCTGTTAGTCTAGTGCAATGGTCGGCAAACTCATTAGTCAACAGAGCCAAATATCAACAGTACAACGATTGAAATTTCTTTTGAGAGCCAAATTTTTTAAACTTAAACTATATAGGTAGGTACATTGTTATTAACTTAATTAGGGTACTCCTAAACTGGCCTTTGCTAAAAACGTCCTCAATCTGATTGAGGTACGTACGCTGAAGTCGCCCCCTTCCAACTCTCCCATCCACACTCGTCTTGTATACTTGTTTCATCTATCTTTTGTCACCTGCGTGCGATTTGCGGACTCGACTAGCACTAACCACTGCACAGTGAGACTGCTGACTGACTGGCTCACTCAACTCGTGCATGAATCGCGGGCGCGCCTACCCCGAGCTGCATATCCCGCGGCCCGCCTGCGCCGTGTCCCTCGTCGCTCGACCTACCGACCGACACCACCCACTTCTTCTAACGCCACTTCTTCAAAATAGACTCGCCCAGGCCGAAAACTGACTTCTGCGCATGGGCCACGAAGTTTCAATCGCACGTGGTATTTTGTGGAAGAGCCACACTCAAGGGGCCAAAGAGCAGCATGTGGCTCGCCAGCCGTGGTTTGCCGACCACTGGTCTAGTGGATTACAACTGGTTAAAGATATGGCTGCTAACCGGGTGAACAGTGATGTGACTATGTCATGTATACAAGTATCAAATTATGATGGTGTGTACCTGAAATATATGTAATCTTGTATACAATTTTTAAGAGATGGTTCCATTATGATATATTTCTTTAATGATTAGTGCAGGTGAGCAGCATTTTTGATGGGCTGCTTGGCCTTTTCAGTTCTTCAGGTCATTTATATTTTACTCATTGATTTGTAATTTTTATATTAAGGTCATTAGACTGGTATATATTTTTTTAATTTTTTAAATTACAGTTAACATTTAGTATTAGGTGGTATTAGTTTCGGGTGTACAGCTTCGTGGTTAGACAGTTATATACTTTAAAAGGGTTTTGTACTATAAAACTTTTTTGTTTTTTTTTATTTTGTCATTGGAGGATTTTTTTTAAAATATATTTTTATTGATTTCAGAGAGGAAGGGAGAGGGAGAGAAAGAAACATCAATGATGAAAAAATAATTGATTGACTGCCTCCTGCATGCCCCCTACTAGGGATCGAGCCCACAACCCCGAACATATGCCCTGACCAGGAATTGAACCCTGACCTAGTTCATGGTTTAATGCTCAATGACTGAGCCACACATGTAGGCTGGAGGATTTCCTTTTTAATCTCAGAGAAAGTACACATATTTATGCTATTAGCGTATATTAATATTTTCTCTGGTTGCTTGGTTTGGTGTCATGCATATCAATGCCCACCACCCATTCCAAAAATAGTTCTTATACTTTGATGGTTTAATTTATTTTTAGTTTTACCTATTTTGAATAAAAGTCTTCACTTAGTTTTGAATTTATTTTGTTAGGAAGCAGGTGGAGGTAGTTATCCAGCTCTACTTTTTAGCTAGCTAGTCATTTATCTCATGTTTATATCTAAATTCCTTTTGTTCATGATGTGCTTTATTTCTCATGTTGCTTCCTTTGTTTATAATTGTTCTTGGTAACCTTAATGTTTATTTTTTCTAAATAAACTTTAGAATCGGCTCTTAGTCCTCCTGGCTAACATGCCCAAACCGGCCCTGCACCCTCCCCTCTCCCCATGATTCATCTGTTAGTTTTTCATTGGCCTGGGTGTGGTTTTATATATGTTTGCAGATGGAGAATTTACTCTTAGATTTTCATTTGTGTGTTTCTTTCCCATTCAGCAAGGTGTTTACATAAATATTTCCCATAATATCTTTTTAGGAGAGACCCCCTTTCATCCCAGAAGGAGTGGTGGCACGCAGGAAGAGAATGGAGATTGAGGAGGCTCGAAGGAAGAGGGTAGGTCACTGTCGACCTTACTGGGTTTACTTGTGAGGGTGGGCAGAAAGGCTTTGCAATGAGGGATGGAGACTTAGAGTATGAACAGGCCGATAGCACCATGACACTCTGTGAGAACATGGCTGTGAAACCCTGCACAGGTTCCCATCCTCATGTATGTGGCACAACAGCTGTCCTACTGGATGTAGGAGCTGAGTGCCAGGTGTGGAAAGGATTAGTCCTTAGGCTGGAGAGGAGGTTATTTCACAGGAACAAGGATGAGGGGGCTCAGCTATTCTGGACCTGAAGGGTCAAATAGAATTGATCATAATTGTGTGTTTTTTTAAATTACAGGAACGAGATATTGAACTGGAACTGGGAGATGATTATATTTTGGATCTTCAAAGTAAGGGCCTGCATGTACTAGTTATTTTAAAATGCCAGTTTCATGTAAAGTGTTTCAGGAAAGTGTGAAAGGGCTTTAATGAGCACAAATCTTCCAACATTTTGTTAATTTCTTAAAAATGAAAGGTTGCATGCTGGCAGGACTCTGAGATTTCTTCCTTTCGGTAGTTTTCTGTCATTTAAGGATGAGAGATTATTTTTGTAACTTTCATAGCAAGTAAATGTGGAGCCAGGTTGATATTGTCAGTTATCTGTTATTCATGCCTTTTTCCTTTGAGTATATCATACTTGTTTTATTTTTGTTTTCCTTTATGGTCATTTCATCCTGAGGTACTGATAGACTTTGGGGAGTGTTTGGGGGTGAATCTTTAATAAGCAGGTGGCTTTGCTTACATAGTGTTGAATACAAACACTGTTATCTTTAGATAGGGGAATGGCTTGCGTAAGTTATAACTTACTTTGGGCACATGGTACTTGAAGATATTACAAATTACTGTAAATGTAATTTATTTATTTTTTTTTTACTTTAGAGTATTGGGACATAATGAATTCATCTGAAAAGTATGATAAGATACCTGAAATCTGGGAAGGCCATAATGTAGCTGATTACATTGATCCTGACATCATGCAGGTTTGTGTCACTTGTTAAATTACATGGTTTTTATTCCTTTTTAATACAACTACAAGAAGATACAAACACAACTTTTAGCTGGTCTCATGGTGTAATGGTCTGTGACTCAAGCACAACTTTGGGCTCACCTGCCTCTGTTGCCATCATTCCTTCTACACCCACGAGCCTCCGTATCCCCAGTCACCCACAGCTTGCTCCTACCAAGTCCTGGAGACTCCAGCGCTCTGCCCGTTTGCAGGGCCATTCATCCTCTTCCCGCTGAGGCCTTTTCCCTTCTCGGCTCCTGCTCTACTTCCCTTGGCCCATCATAGCAGGTGGCCTGCCTTTGTGAAGAATGTAGAGCCGCCGTGGGTGTGAGTGCCCAGGTGCTTCTCGTTGGCAGGTACTTTTGGGTGCAGCACCCCTGGTTCTCAGACCTGGTTCCTTGTCTTCTCCAGAGTTTTGCTCCATCACCAGTATCTGCCTCCTGTTTCATTCCCCTCCCTGTTTGCTTTTTCTTAGCACATGAGTGCCTGCAAATTTCTGTCATCTTTAAAAAGCAAAAGTCCTGTGTCCTCCTTTAGTTGCTATCCTTCTTTTGTCAGGCTTTTTGAAAAATAAAGCTTTATCAATATTTGCCATCTACATTTCCCCACTTTCTTCTCCTCAGTTCCCATAATTAATGGTGCCCTTAATTTATACTTTCAGTCTTCAGATATCAAGGGATTGAACCCTAACATAAGCCCCCTTCACACTTTCTGTTTTTTCCACTTCTAAATAGTCCTGTTCTCTGTTGTCTGATGTTCGTCCTTGCTGCCTTGGCTTTAACTAGTCTGTTTTCCCAGCTCTTCCCTTCACATTCTGTTGTCCACACTTACACACACGAGAAGTCATGTTGCTCTCCTCTAAACTCTTCCATTGTGCCTCTTGCCTTCATCTCTCATTGCACAGCACCCAGTGTCCTCAGTGTGGATTCTGGGTGGCCTGTGATTAGTCTGGCCATGCCATTCTAGTCTCTGCCCCCACCCTGTCCATAAATAGTGATGTAGGCACATCTGACTCCTGGATTCCTGTGAGTTTACTTATTTGGTTATGATATACCTACATGCATTTAAAAATTTTAACAGTACAGCCTGTGAGATTGTGTTTGGGGATGGCATTAAGATGGATAAATGGACACAATAGTAAAAGATCAGTGCAGACTAATGATTTAAGTTCTTCAAGAACGGAGGTTCTTCCATGTGCCTGCTGAGAGAGAGGGGATTGAGGGAGGTGCTGTCTGCCTGCACATTTTTAACCTTGCTGTGTACACTCATTGTTTTTAAAGGAGAAAAAGATCTGGCACCGAGCAATTAATATGTTGTCAGCTCAGCATTTGTGTAGTCTTCATTTTTCCCCCGTAATCTTTGCTAGTAGGTCAGCTCTGACATGTGTATGAGGCCCACATGAGACAACCCTGGCATCCATTGCACACTGAAAGGCTTAGAGGAAACCTAATTCCCATAGAAAGGTTCTTACACTTAATTGAGTTTTTCAATGTTGATTGTGTTTATGACCCTTTTTAAAGAAATTGGAAGAATTAGAAAAAGAAGAAGAGCTAAGAACAGCTGCTGGAGAGTATGACAGTGAATCAGAAAGTGAAGATGAAGAAATGGTGGAAATCCGACAGCTGGCAAAAGAAATCAGAGAAAAAAGGAAGTTGAAAATTCTGCAATCCAAAGAAAAGGACACACAGGGACCCAGAATGCCACGAACTGCTAAGAAGGCAAGTTTTGTGTCCCCTCAAGGTGTGACCCATTTCTTTCCATACTGGATTCTCGTATATTCATTGCTAGATAAAACATTCTCACCTGTGTGTAGTAATAACATGCTTTTTTTTGTTGGTATGTATTGACTTTCAGGGTTAGTTGAGTCTTGATTTTTTATTTCTGATTATTATGCCTTTCTTGGTGATTTTCAAAGTTCATAAGATCATAATTTAGTCAGACTCTTTTGCAATTTACAGAAACCTAACCCAATCTAACATAAATCTGAGGGCGATTTACTGGTTCCTGTGACCTGTTCAAGCTCGAGTGGGTCAGTAAGGTTGGGGTTCTTTCCAGCTCTCAGCTCTATCTCTGTAGGCATCTTTCTCTACTGTTCTCGTCAGGGTGGCAGGTGAGGTTAGATCCTCTGGTCGCCCCCAAACTGCAGGGCATGATAGAAAAGGTGGAGGCAGCTCCCCAAAGAAAGAAGAAGATGTGCAGGGCAGTTAAAGTTTAGTGGGACAGGAAGGAAATGACAACAGTGCACACACCTCATGGGTATTCCTGTGCTTGACACTGTTTTCATGTTATAGCAAGTGAGTGGTTCTTGGCAGACGCAGACATCACTGTATCCACCAAGTGGTGCTGCAGGGACACTGGCTGGGGTGTGTCACATGACCTGCCTTAATGACCTCATATGCACACAGGAATCCCCTGCAGAATTGTGCAGAATCCAGGGATAAAGTGTACACTGTTCTACACATGGCAAGTGCCCAGGAAATAATAGTTTTCGTGGGATTTAATGAGCTGTCCACAAACATCAGCATGAGCCCAAGTAAAAGATACATAATTTGTAAAAGAGGTGTATCACAGATCGTTATAAAAGTCACATTTTCTCCTGAATTTTTTTTTTTTTTTTGACATTTCATCAAACTGATTTTGCTTAAAAGAAATATACTTTCCCCTCTTTTCAGATTCAGCGGAAAGTCTTGGAGAATGAGATGCGCAGTCTTGGTGTTGACATGGATGATAATGACAATGTGAGTGTGCCGAGATGGTCTCAGATACTTCATAGTTGGTTACAGCTTTGTACTCGAAAACCAGGGACTCATAAACCTGTAGGGTCACAGAGTTCACTAGAAAAGAAATCAGATCTCCTCACCATGGACGTGTCTGATCCTTGTCCTGAATACTGTCTCAGATCTCTGCTGTTCTTACTTTGGAGGAGTCGTGTCTACATAGGGAGCTGGGCTGAGCCTTTCACAGAGAGGCCCTGGAGTCTCAAAGGATGAGAACAATTAACTTATTTGTGTCTTCTGTTCAGCTTGTATCTCTTGTTTTGACAATAAAATTTCTTACTACTTTGAAAAGAAAAGAAATTAGAACCTGCAGATTTTCTGTTGAGGAGCTTCACTAGCCTGGCAGTTTGGTTGGAAGTGGTTGGTTGAGGACAGATAGCGTTAGTCACACTATATATTGTCTATTCCCTTCTGGGGAACAGGTTGGGCATTTGGCTCATCCTGTTGGTACAGGATGGTGTTGCCAGAGTCAGTTCTTGCTGTTCCCATTTGAGAAGAATTTAGGAAGGAGACTTGCCCATGCCATCCTCCTCAGTTAGAACTCATCCTTGTGGGTAGAAGGTTCCCCTGGATGTCATTCTGGTGTCCAGTTTAGTTAATGTCAGGTGTGCGCAGCCACCCTAGAGGCTTTTTATTTACCTTTATTTCTTTTATTAATGTTTTATTATATTTGTGTATTCATTTTAAAAATTTGGAAAGTTCCTAAAACTAGAAAGAAAACAATTACTTGTGGTTACAGTGCACAAAAATGAACTAGGCTACCATGTGGTGCATGTCTTTTTATTCAGTGTTTATGCAGAGAGCTTTAATCTTTCTGTTTCTTTCTTTGAAATCTGTTTATACCCACATGCTGCTTGCTGCATCTATGTTTCCTTGTGCAACAGGCACTTTCTTTTAGAGTAATAGTCTTTTCATTTTTAAGCCTTTTTGATTGCTTGTGGTTTAAAAATGCATTTGTTGTTGCCTTAAAGAATGTAAGCTGGTGTGTAAAAAATGCACAATAAAAACAAGATTTGTGTCAGTGAAAAATATATATAAATTGGAAATGTTAGAACAAAACAATGTTGTCCGTCCTACACAGTTTTTTTACTGGAACTTTAATTTTGTTGACTAAAGTCTTTACCTGGTGCTTTGATTAGCTTCAGTTATCAAATAACCATGAGGTACTATTGAGTCTCTCAATGGGAGGGTAACTTAGGCTGCAAATCATCCAAAGCTGTGTTCTGAAATCTTAACGACTAGAGGGCATTTCAGGTACCTGTTAGAATTCCAATGTTTTTTCCTTAGTGAGTTATCCCGGCATATATACATCTTTGTATAAAAGAACTTTTCCATATTCTGGATTATTTTCTCAAAACACATTCCCAGAAGTGGAATAATGAAATAAAGGATAGTGTTTGTTGAAGTTCCTTTCCAAAAGGGTTCGACTGATTTGGATTTTCATCAGCAATGAGTGAGAACACCCTGCTCACATGGAGTTGTAGTTTAATATGCATATGTAGCTTCCGACTTTTGGGGGCTTATTAAGTGTTGGACTTACTGCTTGCCTGCCTTTAGAGGGAGCTGAGTTATCCTTCAGTCCAGATAAGTGGGGGGCTAAAGAACAACCCGTCGGTGGCCATCTGCATGGCTTTGCTGAACCCCAAGGCTGAGCTTTCTGATGTTCATCACAGCGTTGACAGGCTTAACCCAAAATGGAGGAATAAAGAAGTTAAAACTCTATGTCTAAGATTCAAATTGTGATGCTGAGCTAATGATCTAGGTCAGTGGTCGGCAAACTGCGGCTCCGCAAACCGCGGCTCACGAGCCACATGTGGCTCGAAAGAAAGCCGCGGTTTACCAACCATGTATCTAGATTAAGGGAAAACATTGCTGGATGGGCAACTCTAATTTTTTTTTTTTTAAATATATTTTATTGATTTTTTTACAGAGAAGAAGGGAGAGGGATAGAGAGTTAGAAACATCGATGAGAGAGAAACATCGATCAGCTGCCTCCTGCACGCCCCCCAGTGGGGACGTGCCCGCAACCAAGGCACATGCCCTTGACCGGAATCGAACCTGGGACCCTTGAGTCCGCAGGCCGACGCTCTATCCACTGAGCCAAACCGGTTCGGCCTCTAATTTTTTTTTAATGGAGTAAAGTTAGCTTTGTAACCATCAAGTGTTAAATGAAAAAGAATATTTGACAAATAATTAATGTGAAATTAACTTTGTGTATTTTAAAGATTTCTTTTTAGCTTATTTGGTAATGGCTTTGGTAAAAGCTCCTGAGTGCCCTCTCCCCTTGGAGTGATTTCATGTTTGTCACTAAGCCTGAAAGCCAGGCTAGGATCCTGAAGAGTGTTCTTTGTGCTTTTCAGGCCCATTATGCAGCCCAAGCCAGAAGGTCTCGGAGTGTCACTAGGAAAAGGAAGCGGGAAGACTCTGTCCCGCCCACATCTCTTGCCCGGAGTCGCAGTTGCTCTCGAACTCCACGTGATGTGTCTGGTCTTCGGGATGTCAAGGTTAGTCTCTGTCATGTGCAGTTAATAACACGATGGCCTCTGCTTTTGGCTACCTGAACGTTCAGGGTAAACCCTCCCCATCCCTCAGCTGTCCTTTGGAGCAAGAAGGGGCACATGCCCGGGTTGCAGGCTTGATCCCCAGTGGGGGGCGTGCAGGAGGCAGCCTATCAATGATTCTCTCTAATCATTGATGTTTCTCTCCTCCCTTCCTCTCTGAAATCAATAAAAATATATATATTTTTTAAAAATGGGTTGCCCACAGAACACCATTCTCTCGTGGTGAACAGAAGTATGATGTCATAGGGCACCAGGTGGTCTGAGCCTAGGCCCCAGCCATTTAAGGGTGTTCTAGGAAATGGCCCCTGCTGAGCCCCTGGAGGCCTGGGGCCTCACCCACAGTGAGTCATGCTGGGAACCAACCGAGCTTTTTGGTCAGTCTTTTGGGAAATACACTTTGGATGTACATTGTCTCTTGCTGAAACTTGATTTTATTAAATACACCCCAGAATTGTTAGTTTCAGCATTTTGAAAACTCAGGTAAAGTAGAAAGTCTGTATAAATGGGCAAGCAGTCGACTTCATGGAAACCTGAGGTTTCCATTCCACCATGCCATCTCCATCTAGAAATCTGATTTTAATATCAGTCTTGCCACTTGTTTGTCAAGTGTGAATAGTACAATTTCATGGGTCCTAATCTGAGTTTCTTTGTCCAAGAGGGAGTTAGAATAGATACACTTTAATCTTCCACACTAAATATATTTGCTCCTTGTAGGTACAAAACTTGTCTGGCTGTAATTTTCCTCCTGCCTTCACATGCAGGTGTTGGGAGTTCCTGCAGGTACTGCAGTGGGTTCAAAATAGCATTGAGTGAGGCTTATCTGGGTTTTCCAGTACTGAGCACACCTACATTGTAAAGACAGACTATTAACGGGTCATGAAAATGCACATGGATATTTGGTCTTCAGTAAGCACCTCATGTGTTTTATGTTTTCTCCTCTTTAGATGGTGAAGAAAGCCAAGACTATGATGAAGAATTCTCAGAAGAAGATGAATCGCTTGGGGAAGAAAGGGGAGGCAGACAGGCATGTGTTTGATATGAAGCCCAAGCACTTACTCTCTGGGAAGAGGAAAGCTGGTAAAAAGGACAGGAGATAGTGTCCTTCTCAGCTGAAGCAGTTTGGCGGGACTGTTGTTTGTTTCTGGTTTGATACGGTATGGTTTCACAGAATTGGAGTCATGATCTGTAAACTGGAAATAACAATGAAATAACTAAAGCACCTGTTTTCCTCAAAATTATGGTTAACCCTTAACAATACAGGTGTGAGAAATTTTTATCACTGCCTAATATTGCGAATACTTTGAGTAGACTGGTTTCTGCTTTTAATGGACTTTTGATTGCATCAGATTTGCAGAACTGGGAAGATTTATTGGTGTGACTGTTGTTTTGGATGAAGAAAAGTCTTATTCTCTTCAGCAAGATGGAACTTTGGTTTGGTTCCCTGCATATAAATAGTCCTTCCTTGCTAAGAAAACCTCTCCACTTGTGGCCATGGGCAGAAGGCTGCCAGTCCTGCTTTGCAGATACAGGTTGAGGGTTTGTCAGATGCCAGCACTAAATTATTTTCTAGTCTTTTTGTACAATGTACCATTGTAATCTGTCTTCATTATTTTATCCAAAATAAACTTCTTTTAGTTTTGATTATTTTGTTCATGTTTTTCTTTTTTTTTTTTTTAAGCAAAATACTTTTTTTGTGGAGTAAAGAGCAATTAAATGTAGGCATGTCCTGTTTCAGTAGTTCATGACTGAAAATCACATTTTAATTAAAACATAAACACCCCAATACTACCACAAAAGCACCTCCTGGGGAGGGATCTGTTTTCAGTTTTTTTGCTCAGTATAGAGTGTCTGCCTGTGGACTGAAGGGTCCCAGGTTCGATTCTGGTCAAGGGCACATGCCAGGGTTGTAGGCTCGATCCCCAGTAGGGGGTGTGCAGGAAGTGGCCAGTCAATGGTTCTCATTATTGTTTCTATCTCTCCCTCTCCCTCTCTGAAATCAATAAAAATGTATTTTTTAAAAAAAGAGAGAGAGAGAGAGAGACTCATCCTTCAGTGATAGGGAAGATGGTCGAGCAGGAAGCACCAGGAATTCCTTTGTTCTAGATTATAGTGGCACCAGCAGAACTTGTCCAATGTAACTAACTTAGAACTCTGGAGTCTCTCTGATGCCTAACCTCTTTTAGGGCAAGTCTTGGCCAGTAGGTCAGTTAATTTTGATCAATTTTAGCCTTTACGGGTTAGTATTTTCATACCATCCAGTCCCAGCCCTGTTTTTGTGTGTAGGGTGGGTTGCCCAGGACTTTGTCCTCCACACATTGGGATTCTATCTTTTGATTGCTGATTGCTGCTCTGATAGCAGAGGTTGACACTTATTCTTCCAGTTCCTATAAGCTGAATTGGATTCGGGAAAATTTAAAGGCTCAGTGCCTTTTATTCCGCCCCCCCCCCCCCTTTTTTTTTCAGGGGACCAGAGATTTAAGAATTAAGATTTTAAAGACCAACTTCGTGTTCAGGGGCATTTAGAAAGCACCCATGCCCAAGGAAAGACACATACTTAGAACTGGGAAGATGTTAAGTTTTTTTAATTTATTTTTTATCCTCACCCGAGGACATGTTTATTGATTTTATTTTTTGTTTGTTTTGTGTTTATTGACTTTAGAGGGGGAAAAAAACATTGATGTGAGGGAGAAAAATCCATAGGTTGCCTCCCACATGCTCCCGGACAGATCAACCCTGCCACTCGGGCATGTGCCCTGACCAGGAATCAAATCCACAACCTTTTAATGTATGGGTGATGCTCCAATCAACTGAGCCACCCAGCTAGGGCACAATCTTAATTTTTTACCTCATGCTGGCACAGATATCCTACAACAAAAAACAAAAACAAAAAATTCAGCCACCCAGGTAAAGGGATATAATATGATTTATAGAATTAGCACATTATATGAGTCAAATACCCAGGTTTTGTTTTGTTTTAAGTTATTATTTATTGATTTTAGAGAGAGGAAGGGAGAGAGACATCAATTTGCTGTTCCACTATTTATCATTCATTGGTTGCTTGTATGTGCCCTGACCGGGGATCAAACCCACAACCTTGGTGTGTCGGGACAAAGCTCTAACTTACTGAGCTACCTGGCCAGGGCCCCCAGTTTTCAACAACAAAAACAAGAAGGCATACAAATAAAGAGGAAAGTATGGCCAAAACAGAAACGATCCCTTACTAGACAAAGAATTTAAAAGCTACCTTCTTATTTAAACTTACTGGGTGACAATAGTTAAAATTATGTAAGTTTCAAGTATACAATTCTATAATACATCACCTGTATATTTCATTGTGTGTTTTACCACCCAAAGTCAAACATTCCATTAAGTATTTGACTCCCTTTACTATCTTCCACTCCCCTTTTCCTCAGATAATCACCATACTGTTGTCTGTATGAATTTTGGGGGGTTTTTTTGTTTGTTTGTTCATTTGTTGCTTTCAGTTTTATATTCCACATGGGTGAAATAAGGTTCTTGACTGACTTAATTTAGCATGATATTCTCAAGATCCATCCATGTTGTTCCAATGGCAGTGCCCTCAGGATTTTGACCAGGAGAATGGGAGTTCAATCACTTGCTATGACGTGCACTGACCACCAGGGGGGTGGCACAGAGCATGGCGGGTGACCAGCGGTGGTGGCGGGTCGCTGAGGGAGTGAAGGAAGGAGGAGGCACGGAAGCGGGGAACCTGATGGGCCCTGATTGCCAGCCAGGTCTAGGGACCCTACCTGTGCACTGGGCCTCTAGTTGTATATATGTACCACTTCTTTATCCAATCATGTATTGAAGGACACTTCATTGTTCCCATGTTTACCCACCATGAATAATGCTGCAGTGAACAGAGGGGTACATATATCTTTATGAATCAATGTTTTCAAGTTTTTTGGCCAGATATCCAGAAGAAAGGATGCTGGATAATATGGTAACTCTATTCTTAATTTTTTGAGGAACCTCCATACTGTTTTACAGAGTGGCTGTACCAGTCTACATTCCCACCAGCAGTGAATAGAGTTCTTCTTTCTCCACAATCTCTCCAACACTTACTACTTGTCTTGCTTATAATAGCCATTCTGACGTGTGAGGTGTTACCTCATTTTAGTTTTTTGTTTTATTTTTAAGTGAAGTGTCATTCGCTTCAGCTGAGTTTTTTTAAAATATATTTTTATTGATTTCAGAGAGGAAGAGGGAGAGAGAAATAGAAACATCCATGATGAGAGAGAATCATGGATCAGTTGTCTCCCGCAAGTCCCCCACTGGGGATGGAGCCCACAACCCGGGCATGTGCCCTTGACCGGAATCGAACCTGGGACCTTTCAGTTCGCAGGCCGATGCTCTATCCACTGAGCAAAACTGGCTGGGGCCATTTTAGTTTTGATTTGCATTTCATAATAGCTAGTGAAGTTGAGCATCTTTTTATACACCTGTTGGCCATTTGTATGTCTTTTTGGTATACTAAGTGTTCAAGTTTTTTGCTCCTTTTCTATTTGGATTTTTGTTGTTGTTTAGTTGTACTAATTCTTTATATATTTTGAATAATAACCCCTTATCAGCAGTGTTGTTTGCAAATTTGACCTTCCATTGGGTTGATTGCCTTTTTGTTTTGTTGGTGGTTTCTTTTGCTGTGCATAAGCTTTGATGTAGTCACGTTTATTTATTTTTGCCTTTACTTCCCTTGCCTTTGAGATCAAACTCATAAAATCTTCTCTAAGGACAAGATCCAGTGTTTTCTTCTATGTGATTTTATTGTCTCAATTCTTATATTTAGGTCTTTGATCTGTTTTGAGTTAATTTTTGTACAAGGGAACAAACTAAAACCTAGTTTCATGCTTTTGCATGTGGCTTTCCAATTTTCCCGGCACCATTAATTGAAGAGGCTTTCTTTTCTCTATTGTATGTTTTGGGCTCCTTTGTCAAAAATTATTTGCCCATATACATGTGTTTACTTCTGGGCTCTCAGTTCTTTTCCATTGGCCTGTGTGTCTGTTTTTCTGCAAATACCATGCAAAATAATTATCTTAAAGATGCTGAAAGAGCTAAAGGAAGACATGGATGTGGGAAAAACAGTGTGAACATAATAGAAATGTCGATAAAGAGAAAACAAAGGTACCAAAAAAATACTGGAGGTAGAAAGTACGGACAGCAAAAAAAAAAAAAAAAAAAAAAAGGAGATAAATGAGACTAGGTCAAACAAATTTCTTTACATCAAAGGAAATAGACTGAAAAGACAACTTACAGAATGGAGAAAACATTTGCAAATATCTGTAAGAGATTAATATCCAGAATATAAAAGGAATTCCTACAACTCAACTACAACAACAACACTTATTTAAAAAATGGCCCTGGCCAGTGTTTCTCAGCTACAGAGAAGAGACTAGTGGTTGCCAGAGGTGGGGGCTGGAGTGTGGGCGAGATGAGTGACAGAAGTCAAAAGGTATAAATAAACTCCCCATGTAAGATAACTAAGTCATGGGAATGTAATATATAGCACTAGAAGCCCGGTACACAAAAATTTGTGCACTCAGGGGGAGGGGTCCCTCAGCCCGGCCTTTGCCCTCTCAATCTGGGACCCCTCGGGGGATGACCACCTACTGGCTTAGGCCTGCTCCCCGGGGGATTGGGCCTAAGCTGGCAATCAGACATCCCTCTGGCAGCCCAGCAGCCCTCAGGGGATGTCCACTTGCCAGCGGGGAGCAGACCTAAGCTGCAGTCGGACATCCTTAGCGCTGCTGAGGAGGCAGGAGAGGCTCCCACCACCACCGCTGTACTGGCAGCCATCAGCCCGGCTTGTGGCTGAGCAGAGCTCCCCCATGTGGGAGCGCACTGACCACCAGAGGGCAGCTCCTGCATTGA